TTAATTTAAAAATTGCAAACTTATTCACTTCTTAATACCTTGAATAAGTTCCAGGGATATTGTTATGATATTTAATTTATTTTGGATAAAAGAGCTGTAAAGACTGGTAGTGTCTTTGTAATATTTTATTTACAATTATGCAAACAGAGTGTAATACAAAAAAAAAATCTAGGAAAATCTAGAGGATCCATGATCCAATGGAAGCAACCTATAAGTTGAAGTAACAGAATGAGGGCCATTTAAGGACCTTTAAAATCCTTAAAATCCTGCCAAATGCACACACTCTAAGCATAGTCTATGATTGGCTACAGCACTAGTTGACTTTTCCTGGAAATCAATGGCCTTTTCACTACTATTTTCTGCCAGAAGCATTGAAGACTTTAATAATTAAGTAGAAAAGGAATTTCAGCATCTGTTCTGCTCAAGTTACAGAGGCATTGTTTCTTTTAAAATTTATATTAGTCTCTGAGACTCAAGAACAACATAAATATTTTGGATTAAGTCCTAGTCTTTATCCACTGATTAAAATCAATTTATAGTATCACTGCATAAATGTAACTACTAAGCAACATTTTGCGAATTGCTGTGATCTACATTTTGTTCACTACGATTTTCTTTTGCTCATTTAAAAGGGAACTTCATTTGCATAATCCAGAACCAAAAGTACCTGTAACTTTGTATATTGTGGGATTGGTCACTAAGCTAACATTTGCTTAGAAAACTGAAAGCACAGTTGTCAGGGTACTTTCAATATTATTACTATAGTTGGTCACACAGTCAGATTTATAGGCTGGATTTGGCATTTTTATCCACCTATCAAGTCCTTCCCAAGGACCTAGGCTAGGTAAATTGTATTTGATGGTGTAAAGGTATTGTTTTAAAAATGTGTTAATACTTAGTTCAGAAAAATGAGAGTGCTTTGCAACTATTGGCTCATTTTCTCTCCCCGCCCCTGCCAAAAAATTATAAGTAAAGTAGAGCAGGTAAGTATTTGGATGGGAAACCACTAGGTAATACCCAGGATATAACTACACTGAGAAGTTTTTAAACAATCCAGAAGCCAAACTATTTAAGAATTATTAAAAAAAACCTCCATAAAGTTATGCCCCTATTGTTCCAAGAAATCTGTCTGAATCTCAAGGAGTCTGTATATGAATTTTTAATTAATTTTTCCTTCACATGGGTGAGTCTCACATTCCATTTGCCCTTTATCTGCAGTCTTCCTCCTACATTTTGTTTTCATGACTTGATTGCAAAAGTCAAAAGCAAAAACTCAACCTGGCAGCCACAACTACAAATCATGCACAAACAAAAAAAGGCACAGAGCTTTGTATGATTTCAGCCACCATCTTGACTTGAAATGCCATGGATTCCCCTGCCTCCTTAAATACAATTCAGTATGGGATGCAGATACAAGGATGTTAAAATTAGTGGCTGGTGTTGGGGGAAAGTGAGGAGGAGAAAATAAATAAAGGAGTATCTAGAACTCTAATCATTGTAGGATGTGGATTTTTTTTCCCCTTTCCCTTCTTTTTGTGTAGAAAAAGCCCCGGAGACATAATGAGGCTCTTCCACTCTTCAAAACAGGTTTGTATTTTCCCCCCACAAATAGCCTCTGTAGTTTTGCTTTAACAGTGGTGTTTATGTGTGAAAATTAGGAGGTGAAGTTGCTTGCATCATGAAGAGAGAGACTGCCCTGTGCTCATTCCTGTCTCTTGTAACTGTTGTTGAAGATCCTGTTGTTGCCCTGGTCCCAAGAGTTCCACAATGCACCTTGATTTTTTCTCTCTCTCCTTTTTCAGAGGCTGCAACCATCACATGGAATTTTCAACTGCAAGACGGCCTGATCCATTATAATTTATTAAAGGCTTTCCTACTCCTTTTCAGCCCTGACAAGGTCTCCACAGCAATTTACATAACATAGAAAAGCCAGCAGCAAGAAAAGCAACATTATAACATTTTAATAAGATGGATTAAAGCTTCAGTTTTACTTTAAAAGGAAAGGTGGAATAATATTTTTCCTGGCTTCTGTCCCTGTTAATTACCTCCCTTTTGATTCCACCATGATTTTGCTGAGTGGCTATTAAGGAGTTTCTATTGTTTTCTTATGCTATTATCATACTGGTTTCTGATTTTTATCTCTACATTTTAAGTAAAGATGTTCTAAGAAGTTAGATCGCAACTGTACACATATTTATTCTGAAGTGTGCCCTATGGATTATATTCCCATAACATACTGAACCAAAAACTACCCAGCTACATTTTAATTAGTATATTGCAAAAGCTCAGCCAAGGGGGTTAAGCTTTAGTACAAAAACTTTAGTATAGAAAATTGTGTTGATATTATGTACAAAGCCATAACATTTTCCTTCAAATATCTTAGTTGAGACTTGCAAACTGTTTCACATATACTGAGTTGAACTGCAACCCAATTTATTTCATTTTGTCTTCTTACAGATTACATAACTAATGTCTCATGAGCTCCCATTTTGTGTAGCCTTTCTTCCCCAACCTCTGACACACACACACACCCCAGTTTCCCATCATTTTCAGCTGGGAAATAGATACTGAATCAGACTTTAAGAAAAATAAGTAAATCCTTGAATTCCACCCAGAATATAAATCCATCCAGCCACTCTGTGGCTCTCAACAAAAATAAAATGTTAAGCATGCCTCTTGGCCATTAAAAGTCTACCTCTGACTTAGCGTGTTGCATAAAATTGGTGATTTACTGCTATGTGAATCTGTTTTTCTATTTTGAAAGTTTCATCTGTATGTTACTATCTATTGCATTTGTTAACTGTTTTGAACTTTTCAAAAAGACTAGATATATATGTTTTACATAAAGTAGAATCAATAACAATAAAATACTCAGGGATCCACCGTATATCTCATTCAGTATGATAAGCTAGTTGAATTCAGAAGTGCTCACAAGTTGGTACTTTCTCTATAGGATAATTGTGTAATATTAAAAAAACAAAATAACCCTTTTCCTGGCCAGTGTACCTGCTACCTGCAACAATATCTATATCTAAGGTTGACCTTGAGCCAGTCACTCTCTCTCTCTCTCAGGCCATACCAGCTCACAGAGTTGTTGCTGTGGGGAAACGAAGAGGAGGAAGTTGTGTTGGACATGTTCACTGGCTTGAGTTACTTGTAAAAATAATAAAAAGTGGGATATAAATAAATAAACTGTATGCAGCCTCATGTTCAAATTCTGTTAAAGCTTAGACTACAGTAGAAAATATCTAGTTTAGCCTATTTTTTGACCTACTTTTTTCCCCCCTTGGTGTAATTTATTACACATGGAAGTAGTAAAACTAACAAGAACAAAAAGCTTTGAATACTTTGAGCAGAGTTCAGACAAGGGCAAAGGGGCTGGATTTCTTTTCTATAGGGAAAACCTGCAAAGGAAATTCTGTTAGGAATAACAAGGCTTGGCTGCTTTTCACACAGCATATAAAGAGTTAAACGAATGTTTTGTCTGCATTTTTAGCTGAGGAGATGACAGCATCCATGGTGCCCCCAGCAATCTGGAGCTCGTTAAAAAAAAATATTGCTGAAGGACTTTGTAGCAGCACCTGTTGAAATGCTGTTTTTCTCATTTGCATCTGGCCATCTCTGATAGAATTTCATTTTCTGCTCCAATACATAAAGACAAATATGACTTCATAAGCAAAAAGAGGAAATAAAAATACTGTTCTTGTAAGGCCAAGTCTTCCAAACAGTCCTTAGAAATAAATTCAAGAATTCACCGAATTAAATTTAGGAATGAAGGACCCATGGCATTCCTGATGTTGCTAAACTATGGCAGCAGTGTGGCCAATGGCAACATTGCAACTGAATTGTTCTTCAACAGCTGCAGGGGCACAGATTCCATCCTACCCCTGACAAAGACCAATTTTTGTAGAATTAAAACAGCTTAGACTCATGGTAGGGTTTATCCTATTGAAATTAACTTCATTTACTCCTAAATATATTCATTTTGTTTGGTATTACTATTCAAACAAACATGAAATGGGCTTCATCTGCAGTACTCAATTTAGAACAACTGTTTGCAATCTCCTACATTGAGGCTGTAGTCCTTAGAATTCCGGAGGGATATTTGAACTGGGAATGTAGGAAGCTGCAGACTCGGTGTATCTTCTAGGTAGCAGGTAAGCCTATGGGCAGTTGCTAAGTTGATAATACAGTGCAGAACAATCCTGTCAAAAACCTCTGGAGAAATTGTAACAGTTTCTTGGTAGCTTAATATGTGATGAAAATCCAGCTAAGTAACGAATCATAGTTAAACAAAGTATGATTTAGCACAGCTGTTACATAAATCCAATTGCAGAGAATTTACAATCAACCCAAGCACCACATCTTTAACATTCTTGGTTGTATTTGTGACCATTTGTAACAGTTTGGCCGAGGCGATACTTTGTAGCCAAGAAACACGTTCTTAGAGGACAACTCAAGCCTCGGAGTTCTGCTTTAATTGGTTTCATCTATCGGAACCGCGACATAGTTACTCTTGTGTTCATTTCACTGGATGCAGAAGAAAACGCAGCGAATGAAGGGTGGGGGGAAGCACCTTGGCTCAAAGTGGTATGCGTTACATCGATCTGAGAACCTCAATTCATCCTTACGAATAAAAGAATTGCAGAAGAATTGCATCGGCAGGGGTTTCCTGGTTCCCAGGCATTTCGTGTTTTTCATTCCCTTTCGGTGAGGGGGCTGGCGACGGCATCCTTCGTCTTTCCCCAGTTAACGTCTCAAGTGACTCCTCTTTGTTGAAAGCCTTTGTGGCCGGTCCGAGACTCCGGTCCACGGCCGGGCATCTATCAGAGAGGCCCAAGAGCGAAGTGGGGACCAGGGCTAGATATCAAGCAAGCCGAGAAGTCTTCCCCTCCCTGGAAGCAAATCTCCAATGGAATGAATGGAATATAAATACCAGCCAATAAGCAGCTGGCTTAGGGTGTGTATAAAAAGGATGGGAAGGTGGAGGGAAAGGCTTCATTTCAGGCAGGTCTTTCTGGTGGAGCTTGCAAGAGTAGCCAAGGGCGCTTTCCTTTCGCAGTTCCTCTGAAAGTCTCGGTAAGTGAGCGGGGCAAGCGGTGCCGGGCAGCCCCTTTGGCTTCGGATTAGAGCTTGAGCTGGACGGCCGGCTCTGAAGCATCTTCTGCTTTCCGGAAGAAAAGAAAAAAAAAACCGAGCAGGCATTTTACGCACGAAAGACCAGGGTTGTTTTTTTTCCCCTTTCCTTTCTTTCTTTCTTCCTCTGCGAACTCGCGCTTCTTTAAGCCAGCATCTCGCCCTGGCGAGAGGAAAAGGAGTCTCGGGTTCTGGTTTCTCACGCCGCAACGATAGTTGCTCTTTTTGGGGACCGAGAGAGAGAGGATGGTGGACGTGTCCAAAGGAGAGCGCGGGCTGGAGATACGCTTCAATCTTGCCCGGAGTCCTCGGGGTTTTTTTTTAACCCTCTTTAAAAGTCGACTCCTTTCTCGGGGGGCGAGTGATGCTCGGACGGCTAGAGTAATTGGGATTTCGGAGAGCATTGAGCCACATTCATCTCCGTTTCTTACGTAACGATGGCCTCTTTCATTTTCGAGCTGCTGCCTTCGCCTTAGGCTGAGATGCCCAAAGCCAAAGCGCCTTGACAGCGCGCGGGAGGAGGGAAGCCCGCTCGCCCTTGCCCTTATAAAGCGGGACGGGCAGGGGAGAGCGGTGCCCCCCCCCGCCTCGGGGGCTACAGAGGGACGCCAGTGGCGGCCAGCCAGGCGTCCCCAACTCCCTGCCCCCCCTCCCCTCCTGGCCACTTGCTTCCAGATAGCAGCCTTGCCCCCGGGCTGAGGCGCACTGCAGCTTCCCCCGCTATAGCGAGGCTGCTCTTGCGAGAGGAGACCTTCGCGGCTCCCTTCCCGGATCGAGGCTTGAGCAAGCCCGGAAGAGCGCGGGTGGGACTCGGCTGCGATCCACCGCAGCCAGCGCCCTTTTTGATCCGCTTAAAAGCCTCCCTCCCTCCCGCCTTCCGTGCCTTTGCTCCGCCGCGGCGGCGGCCGCCACCTGCTCCTTCCGAAGGGCCTCCTTGGAGAGCCGGTGGAGTCGTAGGTAGAGAACCGCCCGCGGCCCTCTCTTCCTGCGGTTGTTTGTGCCAAGCACTGCGCATCCCTAACCGGCTTCTCTTCTCTTGCGACAGAGGGGGTGCCCGGGGCGCGGAACGAGGCAGCCCTGCGTGGAAGGCTAGAATGTAAGGCTGGCCGCCTCCTTCGGCTTGCTTTGCAGCTCTCTGCTCTCCCGGCAGCCGGGCGGCTTGGCAAAGAAACCCTGGCTGAAAACCACAAGAAGGGAACTCGGTTTCTTTCTATCTTGCAGCAAAATGTCCCCTATCTTGAGGTGAAGGTGACCTCTGGGACCAAGGAAAGGGAGGGAGGGAGGGAGGCAGTCTCAGTGAAGCCCTTACAAGCTCCTGGGAGGGGGGAAGTTAGGTGTTGGCTTCCTTATTCCTGGTTGCTCAGCCACAGATATAGCACCTTGACCTTGGGCTAAGTGCTGGCCTAGCCTGCATGCCACCGGTATGGGGAGGAGTTGAGTAATATCTGGCAACCCTCCACAACTGCAGGTGCTCTGCAGACAAAGTGTTGAATTGAGCAGGTAAGGGAGAGACTGCAAGGTGACCTTGTCCCTGACCAGCCTTTTTCTGTGCAGTTGAAGCTAAGTTAAATACCCTGCAGGAAGCAAAATGATGTTTTCCCTCTCTCCTTTTTTACTCCCTTAGCTCCTTTCAGACAGGCCAGTTATGCCTTTCTCAAACAGCCACAATCTTTCCAAGATGAATTACTGTGCAGAAGATGAATATCCAGATCTAAGTCTCCATAATAATCACATGGCTTCAGTGCTGACCTTGGAGTTATATTCAAAGCTGAGGAATAAACAGACTTCTAGTGGATATACCGTGGATGATGCTATTCAGACAGGGGTTGACAACCCAGGTAAAGGAAAATGGCTGCTCGTTTAATTTCTGTTTGTTCCTCATTTAACGAGGAAGTGTTGTGCTGCTTTGAAAATGCCATCTGTGAGAATCTCCTTGCAACCTCAAAAGTACTGCGTATTAAAAATCTTATGGAGTGTTTGTGCAGAATCTTGACTGCAACCAGAATGGCTTTATCTACTGACAAATAGAAACCTATTTATTCCTTTTGCTAAATATCTGCACTGCCAATTCCCCCCTCCCTTGCTAAATATTAATGTTGTTGAATGAGAAATAAACTCCTTTTCCCTTCCAGGAAGACCTAGCAATAAGTATAATTTAAAACTGTAGTTCTTAAAACGAATCCCTGATTAAAAAATGATTTAATCCCTGATTTAAAAAAAGGAGCAGATCTTGGCAATGGGGATATTACTGCATTTTTCTGTTACTCTCTAGCAATATTGAACTGGCACCTTTAATAACTAGAAACTGCCTCCCAGTGAGACCATCCCCATAGTCAAGTTCCCCCAAGAGCCACGGAGCGACATGACATTCTAACCCTGAATCGGAGCTAGAAATTGTGAGACAATCACTCCAAGTGGCTTTGCCTTGTAAGAGGTCATTTGGAAAGGGGTTGATAATCCTGCCAAAGCCCTGAGCTTGTGAACCCGGCTAATGCAGATTCAGGCTTTTACTCTGGCACAAAATCAGCTGTGGCTATAGAAATGCAAAATGGTCAAAACAAGCCTGGTTTAGATGAAACGGTTGTTAGTTGAGGTTAACTGTAGTTATATGATGGAGCTTTTAAGAATTGCTTTTTATGCCCTTTATGCTTCGGAAACAATCCTTCAGAACTCTTGTCAAATGTGAAGAGAGGACCATTAACTTCTCTTAACTGTTAAGGGGGTTGAATTAAATAATGAGGAACTCTCTTTGGCTAATAGTTATGATGGCTGCTATGGGCTACTTCTAGAAATAGACTGCTGAATACCTTTTAATGAAAACAATAGTGATAAACAGAGCCTCTGTGGTCAACGGACTTGCATTTCAGAGACAGCGGTAGTCTTGACATCCTGTTTGCAAGTTTTATGGAGGCACCTGGGCAGCCATTTGTTGTGGACTGGATACCAAACTCGCTAATGTTACAAAGGTCTGTGGACATCAGTGACGAATTGTAGTTTGATAGTGATCTCTGATGAAAATGTGAACATCTTCAGAGATGTTTAGTTTCTAAGAAATAATGAGAGTGAGATGGACGGTACCTAAATTTGATAACGATTGCATTCAATTTTAGGGATTTCTGAGCATTAGGCATTTTGAGCTCCAGGCAACTTTTCTGTAGGCCTGATAGAAATTGGTCCATTAAGGGATGGCATTGCCAGAAAAGCATCTGGTTTATTATGAAATTGATTGGTTTTTTTTCAGACATTGATTACAGTCCTCCTCAACCTGGTACCCTCCAGACAGATTATTTTACAATGTCCATTGGAACCATTGGCTGGCAGATTAAGTGTAATGGTAGTTTTGCACTTCTGAGGGTTGGCAGGTTAGAGAAATTAGCCCTACTTGAAATATCAGAATTTAAAAGTCTGAATAAGATTTCTCCAGTGAGAAAATGGAAAAATGGAATAGCCTTTACCCCATGTTGATACTTGCTTTCCTGCGATTCTATTTTGCAAAAGTATGTATTACAGAATGGATTTTGCAAAAAAAAAAACACCACCTTGTTTTCAGTTTGACTCATGTATACTGATTGTAGTACACACAGAGAGAGAGAGAGGGAGAAGGGAGAGGGAGAGGGAGAAAAGGAGAGTTTTTAAATGTGCTGCATTCACACCTATGCTCAAACTACAAAGTCTAATTCAGTGGTTCTCAACCTGTGGGTTGGGACCCCATTTGGGGTCGATCGACCATTTCACGGGGGTCGCCAAGCAAGGCTGTCTGCCATTTTTTTTGTCCGCCATTTTTTTCCCCTTTTCCGACGGGTGCCTTACCTCCCTTGGGCTGGGCCAGCTGGTGGTCGGCCTGCTCTGTCTCTGCCGCTTGCCAGCTACGCCTCGGCCGGTGCAGGGGGCGGAACCACGCATATGCGGTGCTCCCGGGCTGGGAAAGTCCTCAACTTACGACCGGTTGGGTAGTCCTTGACTTACAACCGGTTTAGTCCTCGACTTATGACCGGTTTAGTCGACTTATGACTGGTTTAGTCCTCAACTTACGGCCGGTTGGGTAGTCCTTGACTTACAACCGGTTTAGTCCTCAACTTACAACCGGTTTAGTCCTCGACTTACGACCGGTTTAGTCCTCGACTTACGACCGGTTGGGGGTCACGGCATTAAAAAGGTTGAGAACCACTGGTCTAATTGAATGGAGAACTCACTGTATCAAAATGTCTTTATACCTTATAAAGCTAACAACTTGCAAAATCTCATGTGTTTGAGTGGAAATGCCAAGTGCTAGAATGGAACTGAAGAAATTATCCACACCAAAGCTCTTCTGGTCTGTTAATTCCTGTAGGCCATCCCTACATTAAGACAGTAGGATGTGTAGCTGGTGATGAGGACTCGTATGTCACATTCCATGAACTCTTTGACCCAGTTATTGAGGATCGACATGGAGGCTACAAACCTACGGATCAACACAAGACTGACTTGAATGCTGATAATTTGCAGGTAGGGAAGTTTTTTTTAAAAAGAAGCAAATATTTATTAACAGATTGCTAACTTTTTCTTTTGATTCTGTGCTTTCTTATTCACACCTGGTAGTCATGTTAAAAACTACCCATGGGTAGCTTCCTTAACCTAGAATTATTTTTGCAGTAATGGAATATATTTACTGAATGACATTTATGAAGGCTGCAACCTGTATTGCCAGTTTCAAAATTTTAATAGATTCCTGTTGCTAAAGACTTGTAATAAAAATTACATGGCTATGTTTCAGGATTGGCTGTGGCCTTACTGTTAAGGTATCTTTCTCATGTGTAGAAAGGTCATATTCTTCAGAAGAGAATGTCTGTACTCTGAACATTCATTTAGAATTTTTTGGACAATAAACAACATGATAAATTGACTTGTTCAGTCCTTTATTCCTTAGCAGTGGAGATTGATAAACCGCTTCCATCATGGAGCAGGGGTAGTCAACCTTGGCTCTTTTATGACTCGTGGACTTCAACTCCCAGAATTCCTGAGCCAGCATAGCTGGCTCAGGAATTCTGGGAGTTGAAGTCCACGAGTCATAAAAGAGCCAAGGTTGACTACCCCTGGAATAAAGGATTGAAGACTCTATCACTACGCCTGTCACTATAAAAAATAACAACTGGCTAGTGATCTGAGCTTCCTGTTCACGGAAGAAACTCATCTTTATGTTGGAGAGATTAATGAATTGATGCTCTGATTTTCTTCCCATGCCCTCCAATGTATTAGACTCAATTCAAGGACAGGTAAAGAGCTAATAGTAATGAAGCAAATTGAAACTTTACCCGTTTTCAAGGCTGCCACAGGAACAAGCCCCTACAGCAGAAGAATGGCATATTTTTGGCTCTAAAGTAAGCCCTTGATTGCCAGTATCCCATTTCCAAGATGGAGATGCCCCTTAAAAATGGGCTTTTCTCTCCATGACAATATCTCACACTTCCTTTATCTACAGGAGTGACAAGAGTTAGTTTAAAATGCTTCTTTCAGAACAAGTACAGGACTTGCTTAAAACATCTGCTGGGGAAATTAAGGAATGGTGCTGTTTAAAAATGTTATTGCAGACAGCAAGGCTATCTGTAATAAAAGGTTGAAGTTAGAAGCAGCTGGGAACTAGGTATTGACTGCAATTTGTATAGCCAGGTCTTAATTAAAGGATATCGAAGGACAATGAAAATACAGAACTAAGATTTAATATTGCTTGTATTTCAAGTGTTCAATGTATCCCTGAGTTTGCTTTCATTTGCAGAGTAAGTCTAGGTGGAATTTGCTCTTGGATCTCTTACTACTATGATGAAGCTTTTTCCTTTTATAGGGTGGTGATGATTTGGACCCCAACTATGTTCTGAGTTCACGTGTCCGAACTGGTAGGAGCATTCGTGGCTTCTGTCTGCCCCCCCACTGTAGCAGAGGAGAGAGACGTGCAATTGAAAAACTTTCTGTGGAAGGTAAAATTCAGCATTGCTTATTGTGTACAAACCCCAAAACAAGCAGAATTGGTCTCAGTCCTGATGGTCATTGGATAATCAAAAAGAAAAAGTAGATGTAAAATAGGATAGGATCCCCCTTCCGTCTTGCATTATTGGTAGTCCATAACTTACCACTGTTTGGTAACAATGGTCTGGAATTATGATGACCTTGGAAAGAGTGCATTATGGCTTGTCAAGCACATTTGGTCATCACAAAATGTTGCACCACAACTCCTGTTGAAAGAACTCCCTCTAGTTCTGGGGCCTGGCTGAAAGAGCTGCCTCCCAAGGGGAGCTGAACCCCTTACTGGGCTGCAGAAATGGAGCTAAAATCCTATACATTTCAGCCCCGTCTTTGCACATCACTGAAAGAATTCTCTTCTGAGCGTGGAGGAGAGCTGAACTGCTTTGGCAGGCAGATCTTCCAGCCAGAGACAATATGGAGCTGAAAACTAAGCAGAGTGCATGGTAAGGTAAGAAATATGAGATGCCTTAGATGAGGGAGGGAGGCCCAATGCATATCATGTGTATCTACTCTATTGAAAATCCTGTTTGGATATGGGCAGGGAGGATTTTCAGCTCCTGAGCAGAGCCTCCCAGGGCTTCCCTATTCCCCCCCCCCGAAGCACCCCCACACTCCTTACCTGGGACCCTGTCTACCTAATGACCTGTGCAATCACTTGAGAATCACAACCATAAGTGTTGGGATTGCAGTCGTTGAGCAAAGCAGTCATGTGGGCAGTCATATGATATCCCACTTGACTGCTTCGCTCAGCTACCAAGATTTTGGTCTCAGTTGTTGTAAACTGAGGACTACCTGTTTTGTTTAATAAGATGCTTGGTGAGTGTGATTGAACTATCTCTGGGTGTTTCATATTAAACGCCTTTGTGTCAGCTAGAAGGCTGTACCATGCCTGTAGCAGAAAAATGAACGGTAGTTACTCTGTTTCCCTTGCATTTACTCAAATAAGTAAGATTATGATTAAAAAAGCAAGACGTGTCCACAATGTGATTGAAGCTGCTCCTATTTTTAAGTGTTCTCATGTGTGGAGCTTTGAATACATTGTTGCACCCACCATGCTTTGCAGATAGCCGTGCTGGAAGATGTTCCTGAAAACAAGCATTTACTTTATGAGTAGCCCAATAACTGCATGTTAATTAATGCAGCAGCGAAAAAACAGGTACACTGAGTGAAGGGTGCATTCTTCCTCCTATTCCTGCCTCAAGACTGTGGAAAACAGCCAGTTCCTTGCTCTGCTGTAGATAATTGCTAAAAGTTAGCATGCCCTGAAGTTGCCTGACTGAAAATTACCCTTTTTGCTGCCTTGGTATTAATGAATGGTTGCATTCTATTAAATAACTCATTTAAAACAATCTCAATGCTACAAGCCTCCCTATTCTGCCTTCAGCTTTGGCCAGCCTGGAAGGGGACTTCAGTGGGAAGTACTATGCTTTGAAGAATATGACAGACGCTGAACAGCAGCAGCTCATTGATGATCACTTCCTTTTCGATAAACCTGTTTCCCCTTTGCTCTTGGCTTCTGGAATGGCACGTGACTGGCCTGATGGAAGGGGTATCTGGTGAGTATTGCCAGGAGAAGATGCGTCTTGAATATCGAACCATTCATTTAACCTTGATATTGCGATTTATAAATTCTTATAGCCATCCAGTTGTGGCTTATTCAATAAAGGTGGCTTCATGATATCATGGATCACAGCTACATGTGAAACTGTTCAGTGACTTGATCAGCAACATGTATAATTTAATATATTAGAGACTTGCTGGAAGACAGAAGCCCTTTTAACTTAAGATGCAGCTTATGTTACCTGATAGATACCGTAGTTCTGCAGAATTAACTTGGACTCTCTCTCCTGACCCATACTTTTTTCTGATGAAATTGTGTCTTTTAAAGAAATTAAATAAAAATCCTAGCAGTGCAAAATAATACATACTTGTCACATTTACTAGGAGTTAACCAAAAAAGTTAAAGACATGATATAAGGAAACATAATTAAAGCTAGTTTATATTAACATCATTAATTATTTCTCTTCTTTTCTTTCTGCCCTTGTAAAACAATCCTTGCTTTCATGCTGCACCACTTTACACATTGCCTTTTGTTCTTTAAACTTCTTACCTGATGCTTGCTCAAGACCTCATTTATTCTATCCAACCATGACTTTTTCAGTTTCTTCTTTACCCTAACATGTTCATTCATTCTTCTTGTTTTGCAGTTTTCATGCATATCCTCACCATATTTCTTTCGTGCCAATCACTCATTTTGTATTAAATTCAAATCATTCAGCATCTATTGATTCTTGGTCCTATCTCGTATTTTAATCTTTTAATTTATTTATCTTGCTCTATTTGGTTACATTTGCAAATACCTGTGCTCTCCATATCCACTACACATATATCTCTCATCCTCATTTTCTGCAACAATCATTTTCTTATATGCATTTTCCTATCCATCCATCCAGGTTACTTAGAGGAATATAGATCACATGAATTTAAAATATTAGAGTTTTCTCCCAAATTCGTACCTGGTTTTTCCCATTGTCTCAATTCATTGGAACATTAAATGCAAATATCGCCAGATTATTCCTACCTTTATGTACACCTATATCGATGTAAATAACACATTTCACTTAGATTTCAGTTGTTTCACTCACATTTAAAGTATACCTTCATTTGTTGTATATATTCATTAACTCTTAATGGATTGGTTTTAAATTCTGATGAAAGAATTGGTTGATGGCTAACTATTCTTGGGCAGTGTAACATTCCAAGGAGCCATGGTGGCGCAGTGGTTAGAATGCAGTATTGCAGGCTAATTCTGCTGACTGCCAGGGGTTCAATTCTCACCAGCTTAGGGTTGACTCCATCTTCCATCCTTCCAAGGTCGGTAAAATGAGGACCCAGATTGTTGGGGGCAATCTGTGTAAACCGCTTAGAGGAGGGCTGTAAAGCACTATGAAGCGGTATATAAGTCAAAGTGCTATTGCTATACCTCACTACTGGTATGTCCATTTCTGAACAAATGCATAATTATAGTGAGTGCAGAGTTCCCATTTATAGTTACAAGGTTGGAAGTGCTTCATATATTTTGTTAATCTACTAGGCAACCTGTGCCAGTTGGATCAGTGTTTCAGAGATATTTCCTTACCTTTCAGAGAAACAGAATGATCAAGGGTGGGCAAAAATGCAATGGGAGCTGGCATGACTTCCACATTACTGCTGGTTTCCCCATTGAGATTCCTAGTGGGAATATGGCAAGAAGCATTTGAAATCCCCTTCCCTTCCAGCAAGTTGGGTGGGGAACTACTGTTGGGTGGGGAAAAAAGCGACAAATTGCAAGACTGGCTGGGAAGCTGTCATGGGACCACATGACTGCAGCAGCAGCTCAGCAGCAAACAATAGCACTGAAGCAGCCACAACTTTCCCAAATTTCATTCCCTTGGGAGTCATGGGTCCTGGATTTTGGATGCATTCTATAAGTTAGCCCATTTGAGGTATCAAAAATTATTCCCTGGGATGTAGCATTTTGCTCAGTGACAGGTCATAACAATGAGTATATAGTAGTTATAGTAGTAATATATAGATACGGCTATAGGAGAGCAACTGTATGAGCTCAATCAGCAGCTTTGGAACATCATTTGGAAGCTTTTGGTATGTAAACTGATGTATGTTTATTCTATGCTTGAGATAAAGGAGTGTGGAGCTTACTAGCTTTTGTCTTTTTAGGCATAATGACAGTAAAACTTTCCTTGTCTGGATCAATGAGGAAGATCATCTTAGAATTATTTCCATGCAAAAAGGTGGAAATATGAAAGAGGTTTTCTCTCGCTTCTGTTCTGGGCTAACCCAGGTAAATATAATTGGTAATGAAGGCACATGGACTTTGCCCAGGGATCTAAGTTGGTTCAGCTTTCTCTACAATATCCAACTCAAAAGTGCTGATTTAAATACAGTACAGACTTTAGAACAAACATATCAGGATGTAGTGATGATAATAGTTTCAAATTATCTGTTTAGGCAGAAGTAGTGGTGCAGTGAGCTTGAAGGTAAAAATGCAGGTCCTTCCTGCCCTGGAGACTTCTTGGATATCACTCTCCCTGTTTATTGAAGGAACAGAGGTCAAATAATAGTGATGTATAATGTATGTATTCCCTTTTGTCTCTGGCCAGAAATCTTGAAAGACGTGCATATTTAAGCCATTCTCTAACTCAGTTGCCTGTCTTGTACTAACAGATATTGTAGATATATGCAACTTGGAAATGAGTTTCCAAGAGCAGAGAGGACTAGTCCCAGCATGCCTCTAGAACTGGCATAGCTTATAATGTTTGGCCATTGCTTTTTCTAACAGTTCAGGCCATAATGGTGTCTATGCTGTGGTATGCCACCATAGTTGAGGTTAAGTCTCTTTAATTATTTGTAATCTAGACCAGTGATAGCAAACCTTTTAGAGACCGAATGCCCCAAAACTGGCCCCGCCCCTGCCCCACCCCCCCACCCCACCCCTGCTTTGCCCCCCATCCCCCACCCCGCCTGCCCACAGGACCACTCACCGCTTCCAGGGCCCGCCGCAGA